CATTGGCGAATTGATTACGATACCGTACAGGGGTCCGCAGTCGATATTGGGAAATCCTATTTCTAATTTTAGACCTCGGCTATGAACCGATATCGCGAATCGAATCGTCACGCTTCGTTGCGCGTAATAACCTGCGATTTGTCCACTGAGAAAAATGGTCGTTTTTTTATTTTTTATCGAAATGTTCCAGGTGTTGCCCGATACGGTTTTTCTAATCATTTAAACTAATAAACTTAAGGTAATCGGAGAATCGCAGAAGAAAAATAACAGTTTTTTCTATATAAAGTGATGGAGATATTGTTATCGATTGAAATTGCTAGTTCGGAGTCGATAATAGTCGTCCATGTATTTTTCTATAATCAGGGATAGCACGTTTGTCGTAAATTGTGAGCGATCGGCGATCGGCGCAGGAATTTGAGAAAGTAGGTTTCACCGCACCGGCCCGAGGTAACTTCAGATCCGTACGAGATACGGACGATCGTAAAGAAAAAAGGGGGATATAATTTGCGCCGGGGAAGAGCGGCCAAGTCGGGGATGATAATTTGATTTACATATTTATAAATATAGGTAATACGGATACATCATCGGTTGGCCAGTCGCGCGTTTTCAAACGTCGACGAATGGAAGGGATGTAATTACCATTTAGCTATATTTGCCAAGGAGTAATTACTATAATTTATACGAGCGGGCACAGTAACGCCTCGGCGATCGTTTTTACCCTTAGCTACAGGCACGTAGTTTTATCTAAGAGCAAAATGGACGCAAAGAACGAGAACGAGCGATAAAGTCGTTGAGGTATCCGTTTACGACACTTTTAAATCTCGGCCAGCAACGAGATCCCTGGCGTAATTAAGAAATTAATAGACGCGTAATACGATGCCCCGGCACCCTCTCGCGTGGAAAAAGTGTCGAAATCTCAATTAGAATCGCATTCACCTCATGAATACGTGTATCCAGTCATCCTGCTTTAGATACGCGAGATAATTCAATGGAATTAAATAACGTCTCTTTCTATTTATATTATATGAAGTCGAGCCACGTAATTTTATATCGAGTCAAATATTTTTACTTCTTATAGAAAGTAGTATTCGTTTTTCCTCGAGGTTTACATTAATCATTAACGAATTAACTCGGACGAAAGCAGAATTGAACTCGCTGCCGGTTTTATTTTTAATCAACCAGCTCCTCGGTTCCTTTTACTCGTCTCGATGCCATGCCGGGAACCTTTATCGATCGATGAACCAGCCGCGACATAATCGTTTCTTCTCGACGTCGTCACATCGATACCCCGTGCCGGGGCTGCGCGTCCCCCGGAAGCCGCAAAAACTCGAGAACCGCGCATATATGTATACGAACGGGGAGGCGGGAGCGGTTGAAAACGCGATGGATCAAAGGCACCTTCCGCGACGCGCAAGAAGCGGGTGCGGCGAACCGCGAGGACATCGAGGAGCGAGCGAGACGTGGCGAGGGTATGTGCCCCGTCCTTACATTCTGCTTTCCGCGAACGCGAACCTTTTTTACAACGGCGCACCGTCATTACGGCAATTTGCCGCGCATACGAAACGCGGCCTCCTTGGTAGCACCGGTCGAAAACTCGTGATCCGCCGCTCGGCAGTCTCGCCACCTTGTTATAATATAAAACATGAAGAATCGCGAACTACAATCTTCAGATTTCAATAAAAACCCAACTAATGCTAAAGATAAATGAACCAGAATTGGATTCGCATTTTTTTCGAAACAAATTGGAATCCCATAATGACCAGAGAACAAGCGAATTCCATAATTTAAAGGATAAACACATAAGATACATGAAATGTTATTATATTTCATTTTTAGATTGCAATTAATTATATTATATATTAAATGATTTCTGTTCATATACACAGAAACATAATTTTTAATAAATTTTATATTTATTTATAATAAAAAGAAAAGTTATTAGATAATTCAAGATTGACACATTCTACGTTGCATAAGATAGATCAAGGAGATCTTAGGATGCTGTAAATGGTTGTAAAATGGCAGATAGGACCCTGCGGGTAGGTCTGTCAAATAAATAATCTACCGAAAGCGTGTATATGGTTCGACACACGGCTGCATTACTTACGCGTGACGTCGCATCTTCGAAAATACTATTATTACTGGACCGACGCAACCACCTCCGCCCCGCATTAACATAGATTACATGCGGAGGCCCTTCGAGCGGTGTCCGCTCCTTTCCGGTCGAATCGCGCTCCCATCGCGGCGGATTTATTAAACGGGACCCACTTTTCTGGTCCACTATCGCTGTTGCATCATTTACACGTATGAATTATTTGCATAATTAGGCTTAGAATATTTGATAACTCGATCTGAAGATTGCAATATTTAACGGTAAGAATTAAAAGACAAATAAAGCGATAAAATGTGAAATATAAATAAAGTACGGAACGGAGAATTAATTAAATCGATAATTCCACTTTTTGCGACAAGTATTCCGAAACGAAGTATTAACAAGCAAAAAATAAGCAGGAACATGAGCACGCTGAAAGTGAGCGAAAGAGTTCATGAATATTCAAACCCACCGAAATTGAGTGCATTAATTTTCAATGTAAACCGTCGCGCACGGCGATTGCTTGTAATAATGAAAGACCGGCCTAATTTTAATGCGCGTCGATGTGTATCAACGCCGACTTTCCTTTCCTGCACCGCCTTCGTTTCGCGCGAAGGACGTAACGGCGATAACAGCTCGGAGCCGATGGCGTTTCGCGCCACCAATTTTTATTTTAATATTCTCGCCGCCACGCTTCTTCGAAACGATGAGCCTCGAACGCCTCGGATTTCGAAAATGCGGGAATTAAATCCGGCGGAATAAGTAGCTTACAGGAGGGTAGGACCTCTGCAAGGGACTCTGACAGCTTCCATGGGATGATCGAGGATCCGATCTTAATCTGATTAGCCGAACACCTTGTCGATCAGTGTATTATCTTTCGGTTTTCACTTTAGCTACCTTGTACAACTCTCTATCCGAGTTAATAAAATCTGGAAATCCAATTCGAAATGCTTTGCTGCATACAATTAAAATAATCCCATCTTTAAAATGACACACTGTGTGTAAATTCTTAAATGCTAAATTTTTTTTAAGAGCGTCTTCAGAAAGTAGGTTGGATATTACGAATCAGTCGCAATCTGAATAATGATAATTATTGAATCATAATGTGAAAGAAGAGATGTTTAGCGTTTCGTTTTTCCCATGTGTTCGAGAAACACGAGCGAGCTGATCCGGTTAAAGTGAAAGGATGCACGATTTTTCGAGCATATCTTCGTATCCTCGAGAAGCACCCAAAGGAGTGGACACTCCTTTGAATCCGGAGAAGTTCCAACCTCCAGAGTGCGAAATAACCAAGTTACTCGACGTCGAGGAGTATTTTAGTGAATCTGGCAACTCGCAAACACTCCGATTTATAACAATCGGTAGAAGCGAAAAATGTGCGGCCGCGTATGCGTGCGCGACGGAGAGGGAGGTGAAGGGAGAGACAGAGAGAGAGAGAGAGAGAGAAAGATACGGTTGTTTTCGAAGCTCCCAAGGTCCTCGCGTGCATATCTTACCAGCCGATTAATTGCGGCAGATTTTTATTTATTGCAAAAGAACAAGGCGCTCGCGCGTTTAATGGTTATTGGTTTGCGATACTCCCGAGCGCGCGCGGTACAGGCTCTCTCCAAAGTCGCGCGTTCGAGAATTGTTCGACATCAGTTTTTTGCGTCGCACGTATTTTTTCCCCGTTTCGGGATTGTTCACCGCGTCACGGTTGAACAGGCATCGGTCGCCGGTTTTATCGCGTGCAAGCGAAAAACGTAATTTCTAAGTGCGCGCGCGTCGTTCGATAAAACATTGTTCCCCGCGCGGAGGCATAGCTCATGGGAACGTGTACGCAGAGGAGAGATACGAGGCCGATAGCGACGTTACAAATTACTCGATTGGGATCTTAATTGCGTTTTAGAGTTCGACAGGCTTTCGGAATAATTCGAGTGCGAGCGTAAACGCGCAGCAACCGACCCGTGGATTATTTATTCGACGATCTCACGCGCTCATGCATGCGCATAGTGTGATATAATGGAAATTGGTTTTCATCAGACGTCTGAGTAAAATTCATTTATTTTTTCATTGAAAACGTGCGAAACGAAAGTGAATACAATTTATTGCTTTCTGCGCTCTGTACAAGACCTTACTGATGCAACCCATGTAACGTTACAGTAACTTCTACGCGCATTAAGTAACGTTGTGTGCAGAGAAATGACTTACGATAATAGTTCGACGCGCTCTTTTGTCAATTTAATTTTAGATATTTAAATATTTGTTTATTTACCATTTAACAAAAGGTGCGATAAATTTCCGTCAACTTAAATAAGACCTTAATCTAGAATCGAATCCGGGATTAAATCAATAATTCATCGAGCGACTGAAAAATGAGAAACGGTCAAGCTCTCGGTAAAAAATCGGGGCTGTACAGCAATGAAAATATTCCGTGTTGAATGGTACGTAACGACATAGCGAACGTCCTTGCGGGACACACCTTACGTGCGTGGCGCTGTATGAATGCGCGGCGCTGTAATAATAAATTCTACGCAGCAACGTGACTTATCCGCGAGTGTACGCTCGCGGGTAGGCGTGCGCAATGATTGTTAATTGTCCCGGCCGATACACGAGGCCGATACGCGCGCCGTGCTCGCAACGTGCTCGCGAACCACGACCGGCACTGTTTCATTTTTCCGGACAGGCTACTGTCCGTGCGATAGTAAGGTAAGAAGTAAGACTTCAACCGATAAAAGCATTCCAGAATCCGATTATCCATTCATGTGTTTATACGATACGTAAACACGTACTTCGTTGCTTCAACGCAATTGGATTCAACGTTCACAGAGAAAGAAGCTCTTAATAGAAGGAAGCAGTAAGGTTCTTTTTTTCAAACACCTTAACCCTTGCCGAAAGATAATAAATGATGTTCCAAAGAATGACTTACCCCGCACGAAGAGAGGCGGCGGTGAGGGTCAGCTGTTGAGCAGCAGCAGCACCAGCGGTAGGATCCGCGGCGACCAATTCCGACAGCACCAACACCGTCGTCGTGGTAGTAGCCGCGCCACAGTTCGGTACCGTCGCGTTGACGGCGTGACGCACGCCAGGTGGGAGGTCATCCTCGTGTTGCAACTGCAATTGTGGATAATGATGCAGATGCAGCGCGGATCCGGACCTGGGCGCGACACACCCGGGAGGCAATAAGCTCGTCCTGGTGACGGCCGAGGGTGGCGACGGCGAAGGTGGCGAGGGTGGCGGTGGCGGATACTCGACCACCTGTACGCGGTCCGCCTCGTTCTCGTAGATGATCTCCTTGTCGTGCGTGTACATGACCGTCTTCTGGCCGTCGTTGTAGATCAGGTCGATCATCTTGTGCTCGCCTAACGTCGTATTACCGGCGGTTCCGTCGCCACCCGGTGTCACTCTTCCGTCGGTGTCGTCGGCACTCCGTTGCTGAACGTCGTCGGGATCCGCCTGAATGTGTTGTTGATGGTGATGATGATGATGATGGTGATGGTGACGGTGGTGGTGATGATGATATTTTGGATGGAGCGAGTGCACCGTTGCTGGCTCGTGCAGGTCGAGGACGTTCACCGGCTGCATCGTAGCCAGCAACACTTGTTGCTCGCTCTCATTTTGATTCTGATTGCTCAGCGAGGAAGACGCCGGTGACACTGGTCCCTCCTGCACCTGAGAAACAGTGGAAACATACATAGGAAAGATGTTCTTTCATTAAGAATGAATGCTGAACGTCATGGAATTTAAGTACCATAGGATTAAGACATAAAATAAAACGACTAGAAATAGCACTCCTTAATTATTCTTTTTTAATCAATCATAGAATTCTGCAATGAAATCTTTTAATTTTTCGTCACGGCTAATGAAATCTAACTTAACATCAGCTTAGGCACAGCTAGAATTTCTTTTTACGTTTCTTACTACGTACTCATTAGTGCCGTTCGAACGGTTCAAATAAGATATTAGGAATTACGTGGCATCAATTTTATTAACCAGCCACTCGTGAACGCGATGAGTGTTAGCCAACTGTGCAGCGACTGCTGAAAGCTGTAGCGCTGAGAATATTCAAAGAAACTAGACAAGATGACGAGATTCAATTATGGTACTTAGTTTTTTATCCGGCATTCGGTTTTTATCGACAGTTGACCGCTCGTAAACGTGAACACGGTTACTCCTAAGCGAGCAGAGAAGCTATCGTTAAGAAAGTTTTTCATGCGTCCACGGATTAGCTTTCTCCATTATTAGAGGAATATTATCAATCCCACCGATCGTTCCACGATCCTGGCTCAAAATTCTTTTTGAGAAGCTCTGAATCGAAGTTGGTCTTAAAAAATTCGCGGTTGATATTCATAATTTATTCGTTGGATATAAAACGCCCGAGGAGCATTGTTCGAGCTCAAGGACGGTGCAGAGAACAAAAGGCGCGCTCAACCCTCGTTGAGGGTGGCGATACAATACTCAGTCGCAATTCTTCGAAAGAAGATCGTTTGACGAGGGTAGGCCGTACATTTCTAAAGAGAATCGCAGGTTCCTCGGGACCTTTAATAATAAGACGGTATTCTACGAAAGGTTCTGCAAATCTTTTGTCGACAGGTGAGAGTGGTACCTAAATGGGGCGAAGTCGTGTTATTCGAGTCAGCAGGTTATCTGAATCCAACAATTTTCTGTTCAAGCAAGAATTGCGACTATTTGTACAAAAAAAAAAGAATCAGTTCATTTAATGATTATTCATACGCCATTCTTATCCGAGCATAGAAGCATGCATTGCTTCGTCATTGTCTTGCGACAATAACATCTAATACACGTGTAGATCTGATTCTCTGTGGCGAAGTTTAGATCTGCATGGTTGATCGGTTCGAGTATCCCGTAGACTCGGAGGCCAGAAGCGAAACAGCGTGAGGCTAAGGACTTACATAATTAACCAGTTGCGTAACGCACAACCAGAGAAAACCTCTGAACCGGCGCGGCGCGCTTTCAATAAAAACCCCTAAGTTATCTCTGGCTCGGACGTTTCAACTAATTAGTAACCCCCGTAGCGACCCCTAAAGTAGCTTTATTAAACGTTCCGAGCCGGTCGAACGGGCTCCTCGATTACGCCGTGAACGTTCTCTTAACGAGAGTTTGTCGCGTGGCTTCTACAAAGTAGCCGTTTTACCGGTGAACGGTTCGCGACACGGAAATTTCTGGCCTCTCCGTTTAATGCTGTAACACAGTGGCTTAACATTTTCGATCGGTCGATTAATAACGAAAAAATCGCGGCTAATCGACGGGCCGTAGACCAGTCCGCGCGCAATAAATTAATCCCCTAAGTGTCCGGCACCGTGCGTCGGATAATAATTTTTCTCCTCTTTAAGGTGTTAGCTAAAGATCAAAAGATCACGAAGCGTCTGAGGCGATGGCTCGCGAACTTTCTACGCGTAAACCGACGCGCCGCGGAAAAGTGATCCTTTTTCAGCAACGAAATTCAAGAAAGGACTTTCATTTCCGAGACGAGCCGCGCGGCCGCTCGTTCAATCGTGCCGGGGAATCGTGATTCGAAAGTGTTTTCGTCGTGAAAAACTCACGGACCGCTTCCAGCGTTTCCTCGATTCGATATCTGATTTGATAACTCTCTGATTGATCGATCCCTCAGTATGGTATGCGATATATCTACGTTCAGGAAGTGTCGAGGTCATGGTTTGACTCTAAGGAATCGGCCTCTCGCATCTATAAAAATATTACACGTTTTCAGCTGTATCGCTGAGAACGTATAGAAACGTTTTAAGAAAATTGTGCAAGCTAAACTGGATGTTGCATACTTTCATAAAATCGGGTAAGCTGTATTTTTATTTAAATGGCCTGCGCATACTGGAGCAAAAAGAAAAATTGGCCGACGGTCATCATCATTAATTACACTGATTAAAAATTCTTTAAAACGGAGTTCCACCGTTAAGTACCTGTCGTTAAAAAGGACGATTAACGAAGAGGCTGGATAAGAATGTGCAATGAAAGAGGGATTTAAACGCTGAAAGCCGACGCTGTAAGTGTGTCGCATCACGCTAACGACGTTGTATGGAATTTCCCAGATGTCTCATGCCGTTTTCCAACAGACATCAAACCTACACCCTTTTCTATGGCTAAATTACTCTGATACTTCTGGTTCACGTTTTTTTAATTCAATTCTTGATGGTTTATCAATAACAATGTCAATATATTTATTAGTTAAGGCTGATTTAACACTAGATTGCCCAAGGAAGTAATTTTGACTGCTTTTGGGCAAATGTACAAATAATAATGCATAAATTATTTTTTTTCCCAAGTGAAGTAAATTTTTTTTTATTGTTAACATTTACTAATAACTTGTTATATGACTGTAAATAATATAAAAAATATTAAAAATTAATTTTAGACAAATCTCTTTACACATTATTCTCTCACAATACAATCATTTTGACTGCTTTTGGGCAAATGTACAAATAATAATGCATAAATTATTTTTTTTCCCAAGTGAAGTAAATTTTTTTTATTGTTGACATTTACTAATAACTTGTTATATGACTGTAAATAATATAAAAAATATTAAAAATTAATTTTAGACAAATCTCTTTACACATTATTCTCTCACAATACAATCATTTTGACTGCTTTTGGGCAATATAGGTATATACTAAGTTTCAGTCTCTCTAGTGTTAATTAAATGTATTAGTATTACTTTTGGGCAACGTTAAAAGTTTATGTAATAAAGTTGGTAAATGGTCGTCCAACGACCTCGTATCATAAATTTAATCTAGTATCGTCGTCAAGGTAAACGATTGCGTAAACCATGATAGTACTTCATACAGAAGGTTGGTCTGTTCGCCGAGAAGTTATTAGGCAGTGATCGACCTTGCCAGCTTGTCTTCCTCGTTTTTTTTTTTTATTTCGTTCCTTTTCAATAGAGTCAATTAATCCTTTAACTAAATGTAGAGTTCGGATTGCGCAACGTTGTACCTTACAGAATGCCGCTAGTGATAAACAGCAGAACATATTAATTCGTTAAAACATTTTGATATTGTTCATAAATTCGTCGTAGTGGATAGAAATCTTGATCTTAAAATAAGATTGTGCAAGTACTAGATCATATCGAGAAATCTGATTTTTTAACTAGATTTTTCTATGTTGATAATCGTTTGATCACCGTCGCCGGTGAAAAAGCAGTCCTCGTAAAACGCACATAAACTGTTCGTAGTAGACACCATTTAACGCGGTCAGCTATTGGGATAAAAACCCATGGTTGGAGACCAATGATCCGCGACACGAGCATAGACAACTAGCCCGAACAGATGGCAACCAAAAACCTGATATCAGCGTCGTTACATCTTCGATGCGAGATAAAAAAAAGCATGTAACATTTACATGAAAGCAACAAAGTCGCTTCCTGAAGCACCGTTCGCAAAAACTAGTATTACACATTTTTACCATACAATTTTACAAAACCTACAGTTAACTTCATCTTCTGAAGCCAAGCGGTAAATATTAAATCTAATGAAGGATTTTTCACGCTCAGTATAATACATTCCTTCACAAAATTCTTTTACTTCTGTTTTTATTATCTCTAATCATACCAATCATCGATTCACCCCCAAAAAAGGGAGGAACACAGCGTCTCCTTCTCTCGTCCTGGGTCTTAACAGAGGCTAGGCTCTGTTTACACGCAAGAACCGGCTGATAATAACAGTTAATTGGCCTGCTGGCCGTGAGAGACTGTTCCAAGTCGACACACTCCTGTACGAAGCGAGGCGTTCGCGCACGTCCGTCCCTCGAACTCGAATCGTCCTCGACGCTTCTTCTTACGCGCGGATCTTCTCTCCGCTTATTGCCGATCACGTCGTCGTTGGAATACGCAGCTGTGCTCGAAGATACGTGGAATCGCTAAGGGTCTTTCTTTCGCTCTCCTCCAACAGTACAAACACTACTCTCAACAAGTATCCAAGAGAGATAATGGAAAGAATCTAATTTATCAAATTCGTACAATGAATTTGTTAAAGAAAAAAAAAATAAAGTACCTTTTGATAGAGTCATCAACTACTTGTGATAATCCTTACTGATTTATTCTATACATTCTTTCGCTTCAATGCTCTTATGCAACTGATAAAGAATTTCCATCAGATTTTGGAAACAGTTAATAATCAACGTTCCCTCGCAAAACTTGTTTAGATACTTGTGGACGGTAGTGTACGTGTGCTAGCACTCTTGTTCATTGTTGTCCGTTCCCTCTTTCGCTGCATCCCTCGAGGATGCGAGGGGTTTTTGCCCATCGCCCCGTTGAATCCTTGTTATATCGGGCCGGCTCTTTGCCCGGCTATCCAACTTCCCTCGCGGAGAACACCTGTCAGAGTTTCTGTTATTGCGGCTTCGCGGCGGGAATTTCTTCTCTCCGGTTCTTTCTGCATCCCGATGCCCCTCGTTCTCCTCCTTTTTTACCCGCGCCCCGTGTAGATTGAATTTTTTCCTCCCTGAATTCGAATCGGTTTCGATTTGAGGAAGAAATCGAGGAAACGTTTTTCTCTCGTTTACGGTCGTAAATTTAACGCGCGACCGGCGCTTTTATTCTATAAATAAAAACGGTAAGGAATACATTCCGTCGCCGCGCGTTCGAACGTATCTCTCTTCTGAATTTGGAATGAAGGAAATCTTTTTTCCTCGAGAGTTTATCATTGGCATAAACGCACAAAGTGCTTACTGTCGCTTAAATAAATCAGGCAACGGGCGATGGCCACAGAATATTCTCCATCCCGTCGGCTGCAATCCTTCCTCAAGCGGTTTCCATTAAAATACCTTTTTGCCTGTTTAAACGTTCAATTAGCGGCGGATATTACCGAGGAAAAATCATCGTACGACTCCTACAGGCCTGTCCGCAGCCGGCTCTTTTATAATTGTTTATAATTGTTTAATAGCCGCGAAGAATGCGCGTGCGTTAGACGGAGAGACGTATTAAAACGGCGAGCAGCGAAAGTGGCACACCTATGATCCGAAACGAATCACTGTTATTAGTTATATCCACGCGTTTGCGCTCCCGTCGCTGCTCCACTGTTTCCATTCTATTCGGGACACGGCAATCATGAAAATATTCTACGCGATTGTCCGCGATACGTTTTCCCTCCCCCTCCCGTCGTTCGTACACCGCGCACTGTTTAAACTGTCCGTTTTATCTGGTCATCACGAACGTGCCCCACGGCGAAACGAGCTAAATGGAATTGGCAAGAATTGCTTGTCGACTGATCGTATCACTCGCCTATCTATCTCCATCGTTTATTCCCTTTTTTTTTTTTTTTTTCCCCGACTAAATCGCCATTTCATCCGACGCTTTGTAAGCGCACAGCTTTTTGCCATCGAAAGTCCAAGAATTTTAATAGACCTTCGATTTCGAGATTAAGTTGCAAGGATCAAAAAGAATTCTTGCTAGATTACATAGGAGATTCCATTAGATTTTGATGCGGATCGTATTTAACACCCGAGGGCAGTTTCATAAGCGTATTAAATAATCCGCAGAAAATCGTTGAAAACTCAGTTAAAAAAACGTTGCGCAATCGCGCGAATGAAAGTGACTTTCGTTCGACGCGACGACTCCGTTCATCGAACGTTTCGTTATTACTTTACCGTCATCAATCACGCATTAAGAACAAGAAGCGAACAGTATCGTTGACACTCGCGTACACGCGCAGACGTGCACGTACACTATCTGTGTGCTATTCCTTTAATTATCGCGTGTATCGAGGGCCCGGCCGTGTGTACAAAGCAATAAATCATTTTTTTTTTCCACGACACTCTCCTGCGTAACGTCGCGTCCACGGTAGCCGGGAAACAAAAATCTTTTCCCTCTGCCCGCCATTATCTTTGATTGATATCTCCAAACAACTCTCGCTACGTTTCTTGCTACCATTATTCCGTTCCCATTATACACCGGGCTTGGGACGGTTTTTATCCGAGGGAAAAGTAATCAGTCGCTCCTGTAATCCTTTTAGAACGATCCTGACTAGTGCTGATTTCATCGGTCCACTCGATATCAACTCGTCTTTATCGTAGCACGCATCATCGCGATATCTCTCCTCTCATCGCAGCGATAAATCTCTAGCATTTAATTAGCCGAGTCAAGAGGTTTAGGAAATTGATAAAAAGAAATAATGAAAACGAAACGTTTCATCGAATTAATTCTACCAGTGTGATTCCGAAAATATATTCACTACGTGGCTCCCGGCAGAAATTATTCAGATATTCAATTAAAACCTATCCTCCTTTGATAGCTCGGAATAAAAAGAATTCCTGAACCTTTGCCACATGCAACGTGGTAACGATGAAAAAAAAAAAAAAAACAACATTTAATAAAGAGGCGAAGTTGGGAGCGCGGCGTATTCTATTAAGTAATCTCAGCCGGTTACTTGGATATAATGAATAGCGCGCGATCGTCGAGCAGGCGAGTAAGTCAGTCGTTCCCTTCAGGTCCGAGTATCAGGTATACGCGAAATCCGGCGAGTCATCGCGCGCAGCAAAATCCTCTACCAACCCCGGCACCTCCCCGCGTCCGCGCGTTTTTTTCTTTCCTTATTTCCCTTCGGCGCAGAGGCCGTGAGGCCGCCCTGACCGAATCGACGCACCGTTCGCAACGGCGAAAGAATGTCGACTGTTTCGATGGAAAATTCTGTACCGTCCGACGATTTTACGCGACGTTATGTTGGAACCGTCGGATATTTATGGCAGATTTAAACTACGCTCGTATGTGTGTACGTATGTATGTATGTGGGTACGCAATTTGCAAAAGTGTAATATATGAAGTGTCTGAGATGAAACTGAGGGTCGGATTTGCGCGAGGCCCGCGAGGATACGATTAATGCGTTGATTAACGGTTTTAAAGGTAACGGTGAATACTTTTTTCCTCGATTTTTACGGGCAGTAAAGCAAAGCGATACGTATGCTAACAAGTAAACGCGCGTATTCGTCGTTGTAATAAATTATCGTAATTAACGCGAGTTCCTAGAAGAGGCGGCTGAGTATGATGTTAAGCCGGTTATAATCTTCAACATGAATGGAAACGTAATCGTTTATCGTTTACCCAACGCGTCGATGGAATTTCTGAGGACGAGTTGAGAAGAAAAATAGGAATTCCTTTTGGAAAATATTCTTACTAAAACTTACACTGTAACTCGGTAATGAATGTTAACGTCGACGCGTTAACCGTCACGTTCCTCAAACTCTTACGCGTTCCTAGTGATTTTAGTTGCAGTCGGAACGGTCGTAATAATCCCGGAGGATTTTGTAGCGTGTTAAGTCCTCTGGAATCTATAAGATTCTTAGGGAAGCCGCTCACGGTCGGTGGCTCCCATTGTGAAGCGCAACGCCACGCAAATAACGGGCTCCTCTCGGCCGACAGAGTTTCACTTTTAAGCAACAGGTAGACCCATTGTGTGGTTGAAAACCTGCGGCGAATGACACTGAAAATCGTTCTCAGGCTTTTCAGAGATTACGCCTGGGTCTAAGCGATAATTCATCGAAATCTGTTTAGGAAATTCGAATCTCTCCCATTGGCAACGCGAATTAAAAATAAATTGACAGTCGATCCTTCACCAGACGCACCGCTGGCGTCTCAGGGTTATTCAAGGCGAAGAACAACGCGGTCGGTAATAATCTCGTCGGGCCGCCATTCTCGTTATTTCGCGCAACGGGTGGTAACGATGGGGAGGGAAGAGAAAGGGAGGATGACCAAATGCGGGAAGACAGAAACGTGAACGTGTATTATGGTACATCGCATTCCGTGAATCGTCGAAATCGAAGGGGGCGTGGACGAACGTGGATCGTTAATCACCGAAACACCCTTTCAGGGATACAATCCTCGAAATCCTACAAGAGTCTCGGTATTTATACTTATCTGAATTTATCGAGCGTTAATATAATACAAGCCGTTCTTTTTTTTTTTTATTAAATGCTCATGAGTAATCCGATCCTGTGTGAATAGGATTAAACGCAATGGAATATTTATGTGTTTTTTAAATACTTCTATTGAATGCATTTGTTCGTTACAACGATTTCATTCAATTACTGAGAAATCAACTCGGATCAATTAATTAATGAAGTCTCAAGAATTGAACGATCTCTCATTTTTCATCACTAACTGTGAAATTTATGGAGATAAATGGGAGTCGACTTACCGGGGACAGTGCCTCCTGCATGTGCAGGGGTCCGTTGTCGGCCTCGTCGGTGCAAGTCGACATTCTCCCGCGCTGCCTTCCGCTTCTTTTTCCAGTTCGCCTAATCGTGGCTGAGCGAGCTTTCCTCCGGCGAACCCTCGAAGCTGTCCCTCTTCCGAAAGTCTCCTCTCTCTCCGGTTAGACTCTAAAATCTAAACTGCGAACGAACGGGTTCTAGGCACAGTGTATTGCTTATCACAGTCGCTGCTGAGCATTGCTATGGCACGTGATTGAACGGAAGGGAACCTACGAAGCAAACGACAAGAAATAGTAGAGCACCTCTTCTCAAGTTAAACAAAAACAAAATTAAACAGTAATTAGTTTATTCTTGAACAATGTATTTCTAAGCCTGTACGCTAGACGTCAAAGAGAAAAAAAGTGGGAAGCAAAACAAAAACGATCCGGTCTCGCGGTTCTATCCTTGCTATTATGCAACGCGCAATCAGTGGGACCAAGCTGGTTCGCCTCTCCTCCATTCATTTGAACCGGCTACGAGGCACGTCAAACTGGAAACGGTTTCGCGGTCGCGGCTCTGATAGACAGGTGTAATAAACCGGCGTCGAAGACAGACAGACAACAGACAGGTAGGCGAGAGTGAAAAGCTCCTGTCGCCTGGTCTCGGATACTGGAACACGTTCTCCTCGATTCCCGTTTCGACCGAATCCCGTTCCCTAAACGATCGACCACGAAGACAAGCCAAACTGGCGGCTCGGCCAGCGACGACTCGGCTCGCGAGTGGTCGAACCGGGCTGCCTGGTGCATCTCCAGGAGAAGAGAAGAAGAAGAAGAAGAGGAGCAGGAAGCTGGGGCCGCATTTTTGCCCTGCCGAGTCAGGTTGTGACGTTCGAGCGGAAGAACGAGATCGGCGGTGAATCAGGAAGGCCATCGAGGGGGTAGGGCGGCCACGCGCGGATCCGCGCGAGGATCTCGCAGCGTGCGACGGACGAAGAGAGAGATCCGGATATTCCTGCGCCGGAATAGCAGGTTCGACGGTTGTTGATTCAGTTATCACGTGGCGCGGCCAGACCGAGTCTGGACAGGCCAGACCAGGCCAAGGGAATCCGTGGATGTCGGCCAAACCAGTCGGACACCACGAATTCTACATCCTCTCGTCGTTCACCAGGTGGATAGTTAGTAAAACCAGTTGGCGTTCCCTCTTCTCCCGGCTCGTTCATCTCCTCCTACTACTGCCGCGTGGTCTCGCCGAAGGAAGGAGGACAGCCCCGCGTAAAACTGGAATTCAGCCCGCGACCGTCGGACCGATAGACGCATAGACAGGTGTAATAATAGACGCAACGAGGAAGCAGAGGAGGATCGACGATCATAACGAGCGGACGCGAATCGCAGCGACCAACGAGACGTTTCACACTCAACGATCTTCTCTATTATTTTCATTGATCGACTAGAGGGATGAAATGTGTGCCGGAAGAGGAGCCAAGTTCTTTGATCTCCGTGTTCTAATCGAAAGTAAGCTGAAGAAGATTATATGTAAGAAGATGCGCGAAGAAGATCCTTCTGGATGTTCGACTACAAATTTCTTCTTTCTTAAGCTGAATCCGGGGAAGATCGCACGGGACAAGAGGGTGGTAAGAAGAATAAGAGAAACAACGGGATGAACCGGCTACGCTTGTGCTAGAAGGAGAAAGAGAGAGAGAGAGGGACGACACAACAGGGTGGCGGGAAGTAGGTAGGTCGGTGTCTACCTACTACGCGGAAGAAGGAGATTGGGGCGACCTGGGAGAGAAGGAGTAGAGGTACACGAAGCCGGTATACAACCGCGGACCGGAGACGAGAAGCCAGAGGAGCAGGTTCGGCCGGTCTAACCTGATTCTCAAAGGGAACCCTGCATCAGATTGGACCCACCTCCGTGGGTCCGTTTGTATCTCAAGTACCTGTACTCCCTCGCCTCGCGTCAGTGGACGATGCCCGCGGAGACTCGACGAGTCTTTTGCGAGGAACTTACGAATCTCAACCGTCGAGAAACCATCTCCGGACAATCGAGGCGAACGAGCCGGCAACGGGTCCTGTTCGTCCGTAGTGTCCGTCGTGTTAGCTTTTCAATTTAATCGACGAGGCCGGGTCCTCGGTGGTGATCGCAGTGGTTCGACGTGACGCGGGGACTGCTTGTGAAAGTTGTCAGGCTCGGATCGAGATTCGACAGGGATAAAAATGAGCGTCCGAGATGTTTGCTCGGGGAACGGAGACGTGTACCTGCCGTCTCGAAGTCAACGACTGGCTCGTTCTTTTTACTACCTGCGAATACGTTTTTACCCGGAGGCCGACCGGCGCGGCTCTCGTTCGTGCGCTGTGTTTCGGTGGTGAGAATCAGTGGCGAGTTTCGTTTGTGGGAAAAAGCGGATAATCCTTCCGCTGGGACGTAGGCGAGCCGAATTAGCACGTGCGTCTCCACGCGGGGAGCCCGGAGAGTAAGAGGGTATACGGGACAGTGTGCACATGTACCTACATGCGACGTGGACCGTTCGAGAATGTTCTCCAAACGTTACATAAACCACAAGGAACGCGTCGCACACAGGGAACGCGATTCCATTAGCGGATACCATTAACCGGGGCCAATTATATTCGCGAGTCTTCCATTCACTCGCCGCCGCAGCGCGTGTACTTACGCTACATGCTGATCAAGTCTGCGTGTCTCGTTCGTTCCGTAGGTACACGCAATAATAAGCTTCGAACGCGACACCGTTTTCGCCAGTCGAACCCCGTGTGTCTGTTTTACGTAACTATCTTTCTATAGACGGCATATACATAGTCATCGATCGATCACCGATAGAATTATCGACGGAACATACGGAGGAATAACGAGATTCGGAGTAAACAACCGGAATGAGGCGAACCGGACGGATCCCACTTGTCTCGGCTTGTTTACCGGCGGCTCACCTGCGCGTCACCTGTGCGTCATCGCGCAGGTAGCCGGTGAACATCCTCGGAGAAGAGGTCCGACGACGCGACGCACCTAGATGAGAGATTACTCACTTTATCAGGGCTCGAGAGTGTCATACGAAGATCGTGGATCCAGTGGTGGATCGCTAGTTCTCGACGTCGGTATGTACCTACGGTAATCCGAGAGATTCCCTGGGATGGATTCGTCGGTTGCCGAAGCTAGTGGCCGCGAGTGCGCGCGTTGCGTGAAGACGTGTGTGCACGTACGTGGAGATCAGTACGAAGAAGAAGGTGGTAGAGCGAGGGGGTGCCGGTGCTGGTGGGGTGGGATGGGGGAGGGGGCCATCTACAAACTACTAAGCGTCCCTCCTGTGTTCCGGATCACATCTCCACGGATGATAGTGTCACCACCTTCACGATGGACCGCGCTATACTAAAGCGTCGATCTCGCGATTCTAGACACGAGTTCCTCGTATGTGAGCGCCCGGCACATCCGTCGCGAATCGTCCTCTCTCTCTCTCTCACTCTTTCTCTCTCTCTCTATCTCCCCTCTTTCTTTAAATTCTTTATCACGAATCGACACTGTATTTGAAAATATATAGACCGTCCCAATTTCGATTTTGTTTTTGATCCTCGTTCAACCGATTGGACACACAAGAGTGCGACGGCAGACACGGGGGGCAAACTCACTGAATTCACTCCACGCACCTCGTTACGAGTCGCCGCGTATCGTTCCTCTCGCGCGACACCCCTCTTCGACGAGTCACGAGGATTCGGACCGAGTTCCCGGTTTTTCAAAACCGGATCGTCTCTGTCCCGCGATTCACACTTGTTCACCGGCTTCAGGCACACGCGCACGCCCGCTGCGACCGCGACGACGAGCACGTTAACGACCACGACGGCGACGACGACCACGACGATAACAAACACGACGGTGACGCGAGGCGCGACGACATCGTCGTCGGTGGATCGCGAAACGCGAGGCGTACTGCAACCACCGCGCGGCGAACCAGCAGCTCGCGGTGTGGGTCGAATCTGCGCGAGGCAGCTATCTCGAGACGACTCTCTCCCTCGTTTCGGCTTGGTAACTGGTACGGCGAACGTCGAGGGTGGAAAACGGATGCACTACACCCCGAACTGTGCGGCCCAACAGGTAGAATTAAACCACCCAAAGTTTGGGCAGCCGCTTGGCAAGCAACAAACGAACCAGCCTCACGGTGCTCTCTCGGATCGTTCTCTCTTCTCTCGGGATACGGCAACATGGCCGCCGTCGCCGCCGCCTCCCAGCATCCCGCTCTCAGCTCCGTGTCTCGGACCTCTCTCCCCTCTCATTGCCTCTCCTCCAACACACACGGTTATCATTCCTCTCTCTTCCACCGTCTGCTTACGTATGTCCGACGCACTCGTCCCGTCTCTCTCGCCGCTTACACGTCGTACTGTCAGCCTCCCTCGCTCCCGAATCTCTCCCTCGCCGTTCCATCCCCGTCCCGTGTCCGTCTCTCTTCCTCTCATCCTCGCTTACCTGGTCACCCTACGACGCCTCCTCGTTCGGACTCTTTCTCCTTTGATCCGGCGTCCTCCTCCGACCTGGCACACCTGTCTCCGTTCCTCTTCGAACCCAGCTCCAGCTCCCTCGCGTCGTCTACCTGTAGCGCTCTCTCTGGATTCTACTCCCACTCTCCTCGAGGAGAATCCAGCAATAGGTACCTCGCAGCGTGGAGAGGTGGAGAGGTCTGATCGTTTCGTCTCTTTCTATACGCTCGTTCCTGTCCTTGTCCCATCGCGTTGGCTATCCGCGTCAGCCAGGTGAGACAAGGAGCATTTTCGAACAGAGAAATACGCAACGAGGGAGGAGGGATCGCCGGGGAGAGACAGAATAGCCGGCGCGCAGGTAGCCAACGATGGAGAAGGAAGCGGCGAGCGGAGAGACACGTTGGCTAGACGGAAACGGGACGAACGTCTTTACGGCGACCTGCACGGATACAAACAGAGCATCGAGTCATCGACGAGGCAGCCGAGCGAGCCAGGGCTCTCGGCCACCCGGCATTATCGTGTCTCCAGGTCCGTCTTTGTTACTCCTGCCACGTCGTCCTCCTCTGGCTCGGCTACCTTGACAAGGATACCCGGCCCTCTGCACCCGGGAGGGACGAGGATGCCCGAGAACTCATACCTACGTACGCAGGTAAGTACGTACTGCAAGTACGTACGGCGTACGTAACTACGTTATCGTCTGTTCGCGTCTTTGTTGGTCGCGACGGGACCACGAAGACCTTTTCCTTGTCCGTCTCGCTACCTTGAGAAGGATATCCCCGGGAGTTGGCCGTGCCCGGCCCTCTTCTCCTCCGGGAGGGGAACAAGAAAGAAGGAGGACATCGCGTACGTAGATTATCGTAATTCTCCTCTGCCTCTCTGCCTCTCTCTCTTTCTTTCTGATCGCACGGTCGCGTCGCGTCGTCGCTTCGATCCCTGAAGCCTTTTCTCGTATATTCCCACCTTGAGAAGGATGTCCAGATACCGGCGAGATACCGGTGGACATCCCTATGAAGACTTAAGGTCGAACGGCCAAGGTGAACGAAACGTCGAAACATCGGATCGTGGATCCACGTGTAGGTAATCTTTGGTCATCTTATACCTCCACACGCGCTCGCTTCTCTCTCTCTCTTTCTCGATGGATACCTTTGAAAGAGATACCTACCCAAAGAGGAATTTCCACTCGACTTTCACCCGGCTCTCCTCTTTGTTCTGCCCCTGCCGGCCCATGAAACGATCTCGAGAGAGGAACGATACGAGTGTCTCTCTTTTATCGAGCTTTTTATCGGGAAACAAGGAGATAGAAGGGAAGAGGAATCCTCGTGGACGTTCTATGAGGCTCGTTCGACGGCTGACAAAAAACGACACTCTCCCGGTGGAGAGGAAGACGATAAAAAAGAAGAGGACGCAACGGGGCGAGGAACGGGAAGAACAAGAAGGAGAAAATGGAGGAAGGAACGAGACGAGGAGGCTGCGGTCCGATATAGCCACAGACACACGTGCGTGCTATTGATTCCCCATTGCGGGAACACGCGAGCGAGAGGGAACGTGTACAGATCCGAAGAGGAACGAAGCTGCCGTAGCCGGCTTCTGCTTCTGCCGCCGCGCCGCACCGGCCGGCTACACGCATATACGTTAGCATGTAAGTAGATGGACTCTTCGGATCGAAAGAGCGAGAAGATCGGTACGACGACACGGCGAGAGGGAGGAACGAAGCGGAGAGAGGATTCCGAGAGGAGAGACGAGAGTGCGTGGCGAGGTCCCTCTCCGGTAGAAGAAACGAGAGAGCCAGAGGAGAAAATGAGCGACCAGGACGAAGGAGATTCTCTCTTCCTTCTCGCTCCAGCTCCGTTCTCTTCTCCCTGTTCCTCTGGTCCTCTCCGATGGACGAAACGCGCACCAAGGGAGAGATTAAAACGGAGAAAAAGAAGCCGATGGAATTAAAAGGAGGAAAAAAACAGAGGGAGGTGGTGGAGAGAAAGGAAGAGGCGAGAGGAGACGAAGAAAGAGAGGGAGACTGGTGAAAAATGGGCAGCCAGCGAGAGAAAGCCTCGGGCTACGTCGCGCGCGTTCCGACTCCGCTCGCTTGTAGCCACGCTCGGACGCGCGTTCGTTTTCTTTTAAGAAGATGTATAAAGTCGCGGGATACCGCGAACCCGGTCGGGAATTATTCCCCGCGAATGTTCCCGGTGATGTTTAGCAGGGAGTAATTAGGAGAATCGGTGTGCCTGCGCGTCCGCGGAGCGCGAGCGAAACGGTCATTTGAATACGCGCGCACGCCTTCCCGTGAGAATCGTCGCCACGGTCGTTACGCGTGCAACACGTTACCGCGTGGGTGGCTGCACGCAACCGCGTGGGCGGATCGACCGCGATGGAGGTGGAGGAACGACGACATTTTCGTTAGGAAGAGGGGACTCTCGGACGCTCGAGTGTGTTCGCCGTGACAAGAGTCAACTTGAGTTGATCTTTTTTTTTCTTCTTCTTCTTCTTCTCTGCCTTTTTCACTGTCGCGCAGTCGTCGGTGAGGTTCGATTGAGAATTCGATTCGGATGACAGTAGAGGGTATAAATTAGGCACAGTGCATGCGCGGACATTGGCATTGGGAGAGGATTAAGAAAGTGGAAACGTACAAAGTCGTGTTGAACTTTATTTAAATACGAATAGTTATTTAAGACCTTCTTAAATCTCATTACATCCGTTACGAGTTTTAAGATAAAGCAAAGTGATATGATAAGTGAAAATTAATTTGATTATGATAATTGCATAATTAACTAAAGAGCAGTGCTTAGTTGGAACTCATTAAAATTCATTTACTTAATCAGCATCAGCCAGTTTATAAGATTCGTTTATCAGTAAATTGAAAGCTCACTAATTAATGAAAATGCTAGTGTAATGGCAGACTCTATCAAAAATTCGTTTATTTATTTTATTCATTTTCACGTGCGCGAGGAGAAACAGTTGTTTTGTCAAAAATATCTGCCAGCAACTCCATCGTAGGTTCCGTCGCTCATAATTGCGCGCATCCCTTCTGCACCGCGTTACTATCGGTGAAATACACGTTCTCGACGAGACCATTTGTCATTGGCCACGAAATCCCTCTCCCACCCGTTGCTGTATTCCTTTTATCGCAGAATTTGCACCAACATTGTCGCGTGAGTTTCTCCGAATTTAATAAAGAATTGCATTCCTCGATGAAATCCATATTTTCCCCAGATGCAAATAAATCTTTTTATTTCGTTTATCCTAATTCAATTTTCTAATAATTGTATCAGATACCAAGACAAGAACTATAAACAATCTCACGTTTATAATTCTTAAATTATCTCGTTAAACATGAATAAGAAAAAACATTGATCCCTGCTAATTCACTTCTCGGCTCGCAGTAGTCTCAATTAGCGCCTCTATTTCCGTCGATCGGCGAACTTGATGGCAGTGTTTACACACAACGAAACGCGGGCGGTCGGTTGACCGGTCTTTCGTCGGGGGAACAGGTAGCTTATGATGTATTGTGGCTGGGTGCACGTGAATAGATGTAACCCATCGACGTCTCTCTGAATGAAACGCGTGAACCGGTCGCCCCGGCTCCATTATACGCGGGAGAGAGGACGGGCGCCGCTCCGCGCCGTTTAATCGAGGGCCCCGTAAGCGCGAGCGGCGCGGTAACTTCGACGCCGGCGTAAACGCGACGCTCAGTCCCGCGGTGACTTCAACCAACGCGATTCACCACGCGTTCAACTCTCAAGCGTCGCGTTCGCACCGGCTTCTAAGTTCCCACTGCATCTGCTACATGAAGTAAATATTATTTCTTCACACGAGATTTAATATTCTATTTTAATCGAATTTTTTTGTTCAATTCGAATATGCAATTTATTTAATCAAGAGTTTAGAAGAAGTTTTATTGGTACTCAGTTCACACAGTATACGTATTTAAATGGCTGAGTACTTCAATTAAGTCTATATAAAATGATACTTTATTTAAGTAATTTATTGGCCATTAAAGAAGAATTAATTAGTCACGCTGTACCTATTTCCTGAATCGTTGCAGTTGATGTTTTATCCTATGTATTCCACACCTTCCATATTTTTCCACAAACACTCTATCTAAAAAAAAAAAACAGTGCAAAGGCGATTTGCTGAGTACATGATAATGTACATAACTACATAACGCGAACTTTCACTCTATTCGCTGGGTTAAGTCGGGCGCGTCGTCCATTAATTACGATTCGACAAAAAGCGAAGCAGTGTCGATTCGCTCGTTTCGCGCGGTTTCCTATTCAAGTACGTCGCGACAGGAAACGCGTCGTGATAACGGTATCGAAACTGTTACGCGTTTACCCATAGAGCCTCGCGAGGCTAGCTACTCGAGCGAGCGGTCGCGCGCGCGAACGCCGGATCCGTCGGCTAATTTACGTCGCTCGAGTCGGCGCTAATCGCGCGGAAAATTTACGATTTTCCTCGAGCCTGCGTTATCGGGGCCTCGTCACGGAAGCCGTGTTCCCCTGCGCAACTGATCCGCTTCCAACCGCACCGCGATTCGACGATTCCTTCCCAAGGACGGATAGTTAACGCATACCTACGTATTCACCGTGTCTTCTGGGATCGGTGCGTACCGTGAATTTCGCGAATTTATAGTCGTCGACGGGACCGTCGAGTTAATCGAGCCACCGAGCTTTCCGCCTCTTGGCTCTCGAGAACTTTCGCGACAGCGCCGCGTGAACTTGTCCGAACGAGTATTTGCTTTAGGCTTTTTGTGGCCAAGTGCAAATGAGGTAGAACAGTCGGCTGTGGGGTCAGTGTTCTTTACGTAACAAAATGTTGTTTAGACACGGCTCGTCATAATTGGAAGTTTTTGAAATACGACAGTAGTACCTTGTAATACAACTATTTAATGATGTTCAAAGATCAAAGAACAATGAGAATATTCAGGTAGTACGATGAGTCATTTCGATGGTCGCCAAAAAATTTTCCTCTGCGACGGCTATTTCTTACAAAGGGGAATTCTCCCTACGAGGCGAGACCGGCGCGAATTACCGGGTGCGTTTTATCGTTCGCGTTAAATTGCCGGAGAGACGGCTTTTCTTTCCTTTCTTCCTCGGTCGTGTATTGTGTAATACTCTCCCGGACACAAAGCGATCGATTCGTGGCGCGCGAGTACAGGCGCTCGCTCTCGCTCCGGTGACTATTTATAGCCATGGAAAAAACTGGCCTGTTAAGCGACCGTGTCCAAATCGAAATCATTTAATCGAGTCACGATTAATGGACGCGATTAGCCGCGCGCGCTCGCGTCAACGCAACAGAGGAAACGACGCGCGACGCTGCGTCGCGTCGCGGCGAAATCAGGTTGCCCGGTCAACAAAAAAAGAAAAAGGACTTTCTTCTTTTCTAGCTCGAGCCACCGAGCCTCATCGTATTTTTCGTTGATTAACGCGTCCGTCGTAAAAAACCGCTGTCAATTAATCCGATCTAAGCCTTTGCGGGACACAGTGTTTACTTTCGTGCATTACTTTCTCAGTTCAAACGACATGATTGATTTCCTTTTACCTTTTAGCACGCAGTAGCTTGTTTTATGGTGTTTAATTAATAATTTCAATTACTTTAATTTAATTCTTGTTTTGTAATGGAAGGACAGTAGTTAAAATAATTGAAATTCATCTACCTGAAAAACTGTAGCACGAAGGACTCTCATTCTCTCTCTAACGTTTCAATCTGAAGTTCTGTTATAATTTCTTACGTTGAAAAATTGAAATACTCTACTCGCATTGCGTATTATATCTATGCAAAGCAGCCGCGCGATTAGTCTGGAACGATAGCTGTGTTTCAGGCGATGCATAAAGCAAACACGAGCGTTATCACAGCGTGTAAAGTATCGTTGCAACGCTTTTGTAAAGTACAAAAGGAACGGCATTCGTCCGGCTCACAACGTATGAATAATGTATGCGTCGATACGTAAATTTATTATTCAATATTTTCGTAAACTCTGATATTTATAGCCGTTCCGTTTTCAGCCAATAAGTTTTACGACCGTCTCGGCAAATATTTACCAAGTAATTGACTTTCGTAATAAAGTTTAGAAAGCGATGTAATTATCTGTCTGATCATTTTTTTTCTTCTTCAGCTTATTTAAAACGAACGACTACGTTTACGTATTCGGAAATTCTACGCGAGACAATAATTTTAAAAGTTCGTACGGACAAGTAAATAACTTGCCTAGTAGACAGTAAAAAATGAAGCGACTATTCAGGCAATTTTCATTTCATTTAAACAGCAATATATCATCGGGTCGTAGAACGATTTCACACACGTCTGCTCTAAAAGAGAATCGGCGAATAAGCAAAACATTTCGCCGGCAAGAAAAACAATTACGCGCGGGGAACATCGATCAGTTCTCAAACTTCCGGCAAAGAAATTTGTGTATAACGATCGATCAACCAGCAACCTGTGAAAAAACCGGAGCAAAAAATCGGTTAAAACACGAGAACAGGAGAGAGAGGGAGAGAGAAAGAGAGAGAGATATATGCGGCCCGATAAATCGATCGTCAACAAATTAAGCCTTGGCGCGGCTTGGCAGTTGCGTAACGGTATACGCGAAAATCGTGCGGATGCCCGAGGGTCGTTCTTGCGACGCGACGTCGTTTACCGGCGTGTATCCGGCGAAATTGCATCGTCGCGCTGCTGTCTGCCTACCACGGCCCGTTAACTTTTCGCAAGAACGGAAAACAGTTACCCCGCTCAGACATGCGCGGCCAAGGGATAAGGAGAGCATTTCATTGACGGTACCGAGAACCTTAATGGTAGCCAAGCGCCCGTTATGTACGAGAGAGGCAAGAAAATTGCTCGCGCGAGCATCCTCCTCGATTCTGGAAATTCGGCCCGGACGGATGGATGTTTTTTCGACCACAATTGCAACGCGTTACGAGTTGTTTTGCTTATCACATCAATCTTGATGTGTACTTACAGATTTTGTATGCTACAAGGTTTGATATATTTCGTGACATTAAACAGAAACCGTTTTTAATTGATATTGCGAAATTTTTTATTGAATAAAAGGAATTGTTTTGATTTTGTTTATACAAATATTAAAGCAATAAGAGGCCAACTGGCAGACAAGGAAAGATGAATCTTTACGAAACTCCTCTATTTTTATGTATAAAAAGAACGCGAGGATTTGCATTTCTGTTCGTTAGAACGTATCCAGGCGAGGAATCGGAGGGCGCGAAACGGGACCCAGATATGCCCAATCAACGGGCACGCAGAAAGAGGGGAACACGCACGGGTCCGGCTCCAAAATGTGTGCTCGAACGCTCTCTCGGAGTTGGTGCGTGTCGCCAACGCGAACATGGTTCAGCCATCGTGGATTCGTGTATACGGCCATTGGGGGACCCGCCATCGAGGATAGCCCTGGAAACGAAGTCGGCCGACTTCTTTTATCGGCCTCGATTTCAATCCTGCTCAACGGGAATCTTTACACGGGAGTTAAATTCTCTTCTCTTGGTACTGATCACTTCGACTCAACTCTCATAAATATCTGTCGTTCCGTTCCATATTTCAAGTAATTTTGTGAGAATGTATAAAAGATTTTTATTTTTGATAAATAAATATGATTTAAAAAAGATATGTCAAGAAATGTATTTAAACTGTTATATTTACTAAGATGTAAACAGTACGACCTGAAGAATTTGCGTTGGTTTATCTAAAAGCAAATTCATGAAACAGCTGCAGTCTTGTGACTTGATTCGATCGTCAGACGAATAGTAGAGGCTTGCCATTGTGCGATTATTTTGCAACCGTGGCGCAATTTTTTCACAATAAGCCGAGTCTCGCGTGCGATTCGCCTCGCGTGCATCGCGGCTCGCGACGCTAGTAATCTATCATTAGACGCTTGCGCAATTAACGCTGATTAGCCTCCTCCTCCCCGTCCCTCGGATCAATCGTCAGCGGCTGAAAACTTTTAATCCGTCGCAGTTTCGTCGTGGCACATTAATTATGTTCTTTCTTGGTTCTGTCTTGGTTTGCGCAATCCGACGACAGTTGTCGATGCAGAGGTGTCCGGCGGAGACGTTAAGAGGAGCATTGAAAACGTACGCGTCACAATCAGACAGGTACTGTTCTTAATGATTCCATTCAACGCTGCAAGTCGTTAAGGAGTCATTTGAACGTCGAGGAAGTTACGTGATTAGCTAACGAGAATCGAATTCTGATTAACATTTTAATCATAATCTACTGACTAAAAGAAAAATGTATTACCAATTAGAGAATTAAAGAAATCTTCGATCTCTCCCTGTCTGTTCATTCTAAAATGTTTTTTGTAAAGCTTCACCCTCATTTTCTCGCTAGCTGAATGTTTTTCGCCAACGAGCAGGGGAGCCTCGTTGCGAGATGATTCGCGCCGATTTTCCACGTGTCTCAACGCTATCTTTCCCCGTTAGATTATAATCGTTTTTTCCCCTTCGGTCACTGGGATGACCTCGACCAGAAGGGTCCCCCCGTTGGTAGGTACACGGAACCTTCCTACCTGGCTGTCTCGAGTACCCGGCGCTGCCTTCATCTACCTGGGGGCGACGTTATATTTATCTCGGGGCGTGTGCACGTACACACCAACACGCGAATACGTACGCACGCACACGTTCGGCCCTCTCTTCGAGCTCGGATGCGTTTCGAACGAACGATGCTGCCGGCGCGGCGTCCACGAAGGAGGAACGTCACGTCGGAGGAGAGATGCACCTGTCAGGTCGAGGAACACCCCCGTCAGGGTTTTACCTGGCGGAGCGTAAAAAGCCAAAAAACCTTTACCACCTCGCGCAAAATAGAGGGTAAAGGGAGATGAGCCCTGGGTTTCACCCGTGTCCTCTAATCCCGCACCATAACTTTTTCATTGTGCATTCCAGCCCGTGAGAAACCGATCCTGTTGCGGTGTCTCCTCTCATCTGACCTGCTTCCTCTTCCGCACGGCAAGCTGTTTATGGTATTAACAGCTCAGGTTTTTCATCTGTTGTAAACATTTTTATTGTTCAAAATAATAAATGGTTTTACGTATCTCGCGTCTTATACAGTCAAAGACTGTTTCCAAATGGGAAAGCAGTCGTAACTGAAAATTGAGAAGATGAAGGTGAAGATGGTTCTGAAAAATTTTAGTACATACCTACCTGTTTAATCCTACGGTGATCCGGTGGGTGGTCCGGTGAAACAGGGACCGTACCATTGAGACAGTCTTAGCCTGTTTAGCCGTAAGCGTAGATTTGTATCAGTTTCGTGAGGGATGCTGGAGAGTATATTTAGAGAGATACATATTTTTCAGTCTGCCACGGTTGAGCCGTGAATAATGTTCACCTTTACTTCTTGCACGCATCAAATGAACCCTCGAATCGGAACTGTTAAGAAGCTTCAAATTAGAATTAAAACAGTTAGTGAATAAACATTATTATGTGAGTACGATTGGTTTCTACGCTTTCTGAACTCGGTGAAATTGCTAAACGAGGCAATAAAGACAATTTAAAATCGATCTAGCTAATCGGGCACCGCCTGGGGAGAGTATCGATTAAACCCGTCGGTAAAAATCGTGCACGTCGGGAGTCACCGGTCTGCTTATTAAATTATAATCACGAAAAATTGCTGCCACTTTCCCGTTCCCTCCTTCGTTTTCTTTAATCGGCGAAACTGCCTCACGTCAATTACGTTGGTGAGAGTCTAAAGCTTGTAGTTACCTACGTCTTTCAAAGAAATTCAACCAGTGCTTTTAACTTAATCAATGCGTCAGTTGTAAACGTTATCTCCAAAACGCGCGTCTATAGAACAACAAAAAGTAGAATCACACGTTTCATTACAGAGAGATAATGTAGACAGCATTATAGGTGGAATCAGTTACACATGGAAACACTGTAATTACATTTGAGCGTGGTATTTATATTCTTGACTCTGGAAGTCGAGATCGTTTAATCGATGATCGCTTTTTTTTTTTTATTCGTTTATGGAAGACACGAAATGCGATTGCGTTGCGCGGAGAAACTTTTGGCGCCGAGAAAAATTGAGTTCTTAAGAATCATACGGTATGCGTTTTTCTCAGTTGATTGCTGCAGGGGTATGAGAGGCGGAGGATTGGAAGGCCGCGGACAGTTGGATGATACGTTAATTGGCAGACGGGGCTCCTTCGAGGATGAAGTCGCTTGACACGGTTCCATCTTGCATTTCTCCCATTATTACTCCGTCGATGATCGACGGTATTTTCAAGAGAAATTCCTTGAAACGTATATACAGATATAACGAAGGATAACTGAACACGGGAGTACATAAAACTGATATGTAATCGTATAAAAATGATATTTTTGTACCGGGAAAGTTTCAAATTAAAATAAGAAAGATCCTTATAAGAAGTTCATAATAAGTTAGTATCATCTGACAATTTCTATTTGATACAAAATTAAAAAATAGGGATGATAGATATTTTTTAAGGGGTAGCCCGACAAATGGGTTTACTAGATCATTATAATTGATAAATCGAAGCGAACGAATTGAACTACGGAAATTCCTAAGAAACACGCGTAGTAGATCGGCTTCCCACGCGTAATCAAAAAATCAACCTCATCCGGTGCAGGTCTAATCCAATCTCGTTGCGATCGGTTTTTAATCGTATCCGAATCGCGGGAAGGTAGCTCGGTATCGGTTCGCGTCGTAAATCAGCCGGTGCGACGCGCTGGAAATATTAACCTGGGACGTTTAACACGCGAGCAAACACAGTGAGGCAACACGAAGAACGTAAGTCTGTCCAGCGTCGCGTGGAAAGCGAGAGCAGAAGGGGGTTGCGCTTCCTTCGAACGGTGAGGAGGATGGAAAAATCTGGAGGACGACGCGTGGCCGGCAAAAAGGAAAACGCTGAGGAAAAGTCGCGCGAGAAAAGGAGAAACTGGAATGAAACCCAGTCTGCGTATAGTCGGTCGAAACGATGCACGTCTCGCTGCCAATTATCTAGTTCCGTATAGTATAATTAGGAGTGACAGTACAATGAGAGATACACTGACAGGGCACGTATCACACGTTGCCTTCGTAGCCACTTTGCTAATAATAATTCTAATCAAATTGTACAGTGGTTAATATAGACAGTGTAACTCTTTCGAGAGACTGTACGCATAGGCGTTTCCTATTCCCCTGCCTATCCT